TAGGGCGGAACAGCCTGGGAGATCTTTGGACTCATGTTTACTTCTCTGATGAATTTTGCTCCCTCCCTAAAGGACCACAACCCACCATCCCATAGTTTACAGTCTTCACACTCCATTTATCCCACTTCTGTAATGTTCACATCTGTCTTGCCTTTGTATTTCCACCACTACAGAGCTCATTCCTTTATTACAGTAGCTTCTTAACTAGATACCCTTCCTCCATGTTCTTACCACTCCCTTTACCACCAACAACATAATCTTTCTAAAATAGGTGTCAGATGACTTCCCTGCTTAGAAAAGATAAAAAAATAAATTTTATCTTTCCCATTAGCTGTTAACTAAAGTCCAAACTTCTTAGCAGAGGCATTTAAGAGCTCTTTGCAATATCTACTTCATATGCGAACTTTTCCATAAAGACATCTGCAGTCCCCACTTGTTACAATAAATTACTAATTTTATCCCTTATTTAGCATTTTGATTCAGTTTGTGTTTTACTTTTGTCAAATATCATAGGACACTTTGTACTGTAACCACTTTAGTTATTACATACCATTCCCACTAAATATAACCTATTTAGGAACAGATATTTGTGAATCTACCAAATTACATATTGAAGGTACTAAAACATGATTGAATTTGTGCGTGTGTGTGTGAGAAGTTTCATCTTTGTAACTTTAACTTTTATATATAATTTCCCAGAATTATATTCATTTATCAATCATAAATGTTCATGTTTTGTTTATATAATTGCTTAAAAATCTTTTTTTGTGACTTATGATGAGGTTGTTCCCCATGGTGATGTTACAATCAGTTTCTACAAATAAGAATTACCAGTCAAAATTATAGGATTTAATTTCTCTATTTTTTAAGGGCCTGCATCCCATTTATTTACCAATGTCTAATAATCTGGTTTAAGTATTGAGCACCCAATATGCTCCAGGCATTACATTAGATAATATATGCAATATTTTGCTATATGTACATTACAATATTTTGCATATATATTCTACTTTAATTATCCTAACAATCCCAAAACAGATATTATTCCCATTTATAGATAATGAAATTGAAGCTTGGAGAGGATATATAACTGCCCAAGTCACAGAAGTGGAATTTGAACCTCCATTCTTCTGGGTTCAAAGCTTATGCTCTCTGCATGATGCATACACTCTTTTTAACATTTTCTGCTACTTCTTCCACTCTCCTCCTCTTGACACACATACACATCATTCTTATTTTCAGTTCTCTACCTTTTTCCACTCTGTTGTCACTACTCTGAATTTTATTCTAGAGGCTAAATCGTTGATTAAGACTCATCTTCTACACAAACTTTCTGTGATTCTCTTAGCTTACATAATGATGGAAATGATAGATACTACCCTTTACACTATCTGTTGACTGTTTATTGTGTTCTAAGAACTTTATAGCCATTATATTTTAATTCATTATTAGGGCTTTGAGGATGATACAGATATTATCTCAGTTTACAGATGATTAGGGTGATTTCATAAGTGCTCAGATCACCAACAGACACTATTTCTTGTCTGTCTGACTCCAAAACCTATATTTAACTACTCTTAATTTTTTATCCCTCCTTTAAACTTGATTGTTATTAATTGTTTTGTGTAATTTTAGCTTGGTTTCCCAAAATGAATTGCAAATTCCTTTTGAATCTAGCTGCCCTAGGCAAATAACAAAGTAGATATTGCATAATTTTTTTAAAAAAACAACTAGTTATAAATTCCTACTTATAGACACATTTGGACAAAGAATTATCCGAATAGTTGACAGTTTAGATTTTAAAATATAAGAATATATACTTCTAGGGCTTAATAACATAAAAATCTAATGACTTAATGTCAGATTTGATTAATCATTTGACAGAAGATCAAAGGCAATGAAAACCATGACACTCTGAGTGACATTTTGTCGTTAAGACTGAAACTAACTGATGTTTTCACCTTGTCATAGGTGGTATTTCTTCTATGTTGTATCAAATAAAGACATCTTTATTTGTTCAGTCAGATCTTCAGTAGAGAAAGTAGAGCTACATTTGTAAGAGGTCACAATGTATCAACAGCGAAGAATCTAGTTTCTTTGGTTTCCAGTTTAAGGGTGATTTATTAGTACAAAACATATTATCACCATTTCCATACTTTAAATAAAGAGTTATCAAAAACTTATTTCAATATCTATAAATAAGGTAGGCTATGATACAGCAACAATTAAACCCTAAAACATCAGTGGCTTAACAAATACAAGTTTATTTCTTGCTCAAGTTACATTTAATGTGGATAGAGCAGCTCTCCTAAATGGTTCTCTTACAAGTGATGGTTCATGAAGTCAAGCTTCTCCCATCTGTAGCTATGCTACCTGAAACACAGGGCCACAAAAGTCACTAGGAACAGAGAAAGATAGAGGTGGAAGACGCCATGGGATGTTTTAGATGGCCAGACTTGGAAGTGGCTTATATTACTTCCTCCTGCATACCTTTGGTTATGACAAAGTAGTGTGGCCCAAAAAAATTCTAGTTGATGAGCAGTCTCTATGACACATGGTATTAGTTTCTTATTACCATTGTAATAAATCATCATAAACTTAGTGGTCTAAACGGTATAAATTTATTATCTTACAAATCTAGATGTCAAAACTCTGAAATAAGTTTCAGTGGGCTAAAATAGGGGTCATTGGACTATGTTCTTTACAGATAATCTATAGGAGAAGGCTTCACTTTCCCAGCTTATAGAGGCTACCTACATTTCCTGGTTTGTGGCTCCTTTCCTCCATCAGCATTGGGGCAGATCCTTGTGCTATCATCTCTCTCCTTTGCCTCCCTCTTACAGTTTTAAGGACTCTGTGATTATATCAAACCCACTCAGATAATCTAGGTCAATCTCTTTATTTTAAGATCAGTTGCTTAGTAACCTCAATTGCATTTGCAGCCTTAATCTCCTTAGCAATGTAACCTAACATATTCACAAGCCCTGTGGATTAGGATGTGATTATCTTTGAGTGGCCATTATTTTGCCTACCACATACGTTATCATTTCACCTTAAACCTATATGGTCTAAATATCCCAATTAAGTGGTAGATATTGTCATATTGCATGAAAAAAAAGCAAGACCAAAAATATGGTGCCTATAAGAAATCCACTTTAAATATAAAAATATAGAAAGGTTATAAGTAAAATAATAGAAAATGATATAACATGCATACTAAATAAAAGAGAGCTGGAGGACTGTATAATGTCAGACAAAGCATACTTCAAAATAGACTATTCAAGGGATAAGGAGAAATTTCATAACAATAAAAGATCTATTTGAAGATATAAAAATATCAAATATATGTGGAACTAATAACAGAGCTTCAAAGTACATTAAAATTCTGATAGAACTAAAAGGAGAAATTGACAAACCTATAGTTATATTTGAAGAATTCAACATTCCTTTTGCAGTAATTGATAGGATAGAAAAAGTAAACAGAAAATCTCTGAGTATAGAAGACTTAAATGACAGTATCAACCAAATTGTTCAAATTGAGATTTATAGAAAACTGTATCCAAAAAAAAGAACACACTCTCTTTCTAAGTGCACATGGAGGATTCACTAAGATGGATCATATTACGTGCCATAAGAGAAGACTCAAAAAAATGTTAAAAATTCAAATCCCACAAAGCATATACTATTAATACAACAGAATTCAACCATAAATAAAAAACAGACGGATATATGGAAAATTTTCAAATGTTTGGCAAAGTCATAATATAGGTTACCAATGAAACTATTTACCCTAAAAAATGAGAATACATGTCTACATAAAGATATGTACTCAAATGTACATAGCATTCATAGCAGCTTTATTTATTACAGCAAAAGCCGGAAAACAAACATTGTCCATCAGCTGGCAAATGCGTAAGCAATACAATGAAAATATTACTTAGCAATAAGAAGAAGTCTTAATACATTCAACAACATGGATTAATCTCAAAATCACTACATTGAACCAAGGTAGCCAAATGCAAGAGAGAACATACTATATGATATTACTTATATAAAGTTCTAGAAAATACAAATCTAATATATTAATTAAGAGGGCAGTTCAGATGTTCCCTGGGACTGGGGTTGAGCAACTGGAATGAAGCATAATAGAACTTTTTGTGGTCATGGAAATGTTCTATATCTTGATTGTGGTGATGGCTACATGGATATATAAATTTGTCAAAATTTATTGAACCTTATTCTTAAAATAGGTGCATTTAAATATATGTAAACTATACCTCAATAAAGTTGATTTAAAGAAGATTTTAAAAATGAAGGTAGGGGCTGGCCCGGTGGCACAGCGGTTAAGTGTGCATGCTCCACTGCTCGGTGGCCCAGGGTTCACCAGTTCAGATCCCAGGTGCGGACATGGCACTGCTTGGCCAAAGCCATGCTGTGGTAGGTGTCCCACGTATAAAACAGAGGAAGATGGGCATGGCTGTTAGCTCAGGGCCAGTCTTCCTCAGCAAAAAGAGGAGGATTGACAGTAGTTAGCTCAAGACTAATCTTCCTCCAAAAAAAAAATGAAGTTATAGCATCTCTAAATTGACAACATGAATAAACCAGAAATTAAATTTGGCTCTGTAAAGATATTCGCATATAGACTTTTATAATATACTGATGTGTAAAGAGCTCTGGATAACACAAATCTGAAGTTGCATCAAATTGGTGACAAAATTAACAAATAATTGCCATTTTAAAAATCTCTTAGGATTGATGGCCCTTATCTCACAGTAGACTCACAGAGTCAGTATGCAGTCAGAGAGCATATTCTGATACTTATATTACTAACAAATACAACTGGGAAGGTAGTTATGCTACTAACATCACATGGCACATTCCAAAGCAATAGCAATAAAAAGAGAGAAAAAAGACAGAGAGAGACTGAGAGAGAGAAGGTGGATGTGTTCATATGTCTGTAGAGTAGGAGGAGGTTGGAAACTATCTGCTTCAGTCATTATTTCATTAGGAATTTTACCATTAGCTAGATGTTATACAATTTTTTCCTATTCTCTGATGCCGAATATTCTTTTCAAATCCTTGGTTTCCTTTTCTGCTTATCCCAAAGGAATAGCAGGAAGATATTTTTTCCTCTGAAAATTTCTCTCAACTGGCACTTTACAATTTAACGTAATTTAAAAAATTCATTTGTATACAGGTGCAGTTTTATTTGTTTGTTTTCAACCTATTTCTTAGTCTGTAAATATCAGCATAATGGACTGGGAGTTCCAGCAACTTCTAGCTAAATTTATCCACAGCAAATGGAAAGCTATTCTTGTCTGCGTTCAATGATTGCTTTCATTCGTGAAGGCCCTTATGATGTTTCCTAAGAAAGGAAAATGATTGTTTCTGTTAGACGGAGGCTTGATTATATGTGAAAACTGCGCGTGCTTTGGAGGATATCTTTAGATTCTGAGGAACCACTGCAGAAACAGAATACGGGGGCCGATGACTTCAAATTCCTCACGGTAAGGTAGAAGCTGAGCTTCCTATTCCTTCACCTTTGCTTTGGTTGCCATGTATTCACTCACATCTATTTTTAAGCTGCTTTAAACATTTTATTCTTTGGAAAAGTTATAATTTCCTTGTTATTTCAATGAGGTTGCAGTACCATTTAGAATCAAATAGTGGATTTATTTCATGATTTCCTTTTCTTGGAAAACTCCAAAGTCTTTTGACCCTCTTACCAGTCTTTCACACATAGGCTGGTGAAACTCCACGTGCAAAGATTATAGTCCTAGTAGTTAAGGTGCAAGGATTTCCAAGTCATTTATAGTTTAAAATACACACACACGTACACACAAACACATCACCACCACCAGCACCATCACAAATGACTAAAAACCTTGAGTTTTGAAAGCTGAAAAAGATTTGCTTATTTAATATTTGCAATTTGTTTTTATGAATGTATTTTAAGCATAGGATTTTTTTCCATTCTCAATGTTTTATGAGTTTCTTTGGAATAAATAACACATTTTTAAACTCTTTCCAAACATTCACAAATTGTTACCAGTTTATGAAATAAACAAACTGGGAAAGTGATTTATTCTTTTTCTGTTGAACTTTCTTTATATCTAATGTGTAAGAATTTCTGAGAACAAGTGTTCAACAAAAAAGACACCCTCTTGCATGGCCAAATTTAACAATGTCTACAGTCTCAGTTTGCTAAGCATCCCTACCATGTTCTATATGAGGTCCATAGGGTCACAAGCTGGGTCATACACATACACACAAACATACACTTTTCCCCTTCTGATTGATGCTTGAGATCCCTTACTTTGGGATCCTTTATGATATCCCTGTTGTAGTGTCTTTATCCTATTCCTTACAATATCCCTAAGCTATAATTGCCTGCTTAGAAATAAGACCTCAACTATCAATATATCTGAGAATGGTAATATACAAAGGCTAGCAGTCTTTTCTAGAGAACAGAATTTGAGTGGAGAAGACCTGAAAATTCTAAGAGTAGTTGGGAGAATCTAATGTGGAGTAGGAAATAGCATTAAAATAGAGTCCTGAGGAACATGAAAACAAACCTTAATTATTATCAAATTTGATCAAGATTCAGACTTCCCTAGGCATGAATAAAATAGTGGAGGCTACTTACTCTCTCTTAAAGGGGTTGGATGAAGTGCTTAAATATCCATTACATAAAATATTCTGGAGTGAAGCCATCTTAATCTTCTTCTTTCTTCTTCTTTCTCCTCCTCCTCCTCCTCCTGATCTTCTTCCTTTTCTTATTTTCATTCCAGGCAGAAGGATCATGTTATCTAGACATACAAAGTTAGAAACAGAGTAACATGTCTCTCTATCCATTTCAAATTGCAAGTTGTAATGGTTATTTTTAAAGAAAGATATGCCTGTGAGAAGATTCCAAAATATTAATAATAATTATAGCTATCAATTATTGGATATCTACCATTCTACATTCTTTACATTGATGAATCAAATTAAATATCTCAACAACCCTGCCAGTTAAGTATTAGTACATCTATTGTAAGGGTAAGGAAACTGAGGCTTAGAGAGATTGTGTGACTCACTGAAGCTACATAGCTAGTGCAGGAGTCAAATTCAGGTAATTTTGTTTCTAATAACCATAATTTTTCCACTTTAGAATGTTAACTACTTTTTCTCAATCAGCAGAAGACAAGCTTATGTTTTCTCTACTGAAAGTACATATTTACCAGGGAGTTAGGTATTGGTATTTTCATTCTGTCAGTATGTTGGGATTAGTATTGACAAGTGACACTCTCCAGAAATCTCTCCCCATTCACAGGAATCCTTGTGCTTTAGTACCCAAATTTTAGTGTTTTCTTTCATTATGTTTGAATGTCAGTGAACTGTGTAACCCAGCTAGAGGGAAATGAGGACACCAAAGCATTGCATATGAAGACCTCTGGGTTTTGAAGGAATGAGAGAATGTCTCCCTTGAGAGACTCTTCTGTTCTGGTTGTAACAGGTGGTGTGTGAAGCTAACTAAAGTGTTGAATAATGACTCCTTTTTCCATCTGTCTTTATTAAAATAGCTAACTTAACTGAGATGAATATTATCAATTTTGTTTGACCAGCTTTATAATTTAAAGTAGAAAGAACTGAACTCTTGATAAAATATATTGCTGTTACATTTCTTTCTAGTTATCAAAGGCTATAAAAAAACTTTACATGAAGGAAAGGGAGAAGAAAAGGAAGAGAGAGACAAGGATGATAAAAAAGAAAAAGCAGCAGCCATAATTATCTTGTTTAATATATTGTATTTTCTTCCATCTTTCAGGTCTGAGGATCATTGAAAAGGTGCTGCCTGTGGACCCATATCTGAGTTTGGCATATTTGTAAGAACTGACACTACTTCTCAGAGAGGGAACAAATCTGTGCTGGGAGCAAATGAAAGCTAAGCCGTGAGTCACCTGAAGTCTTAAATCTAGACACTCCGCTGACCTGCCAATCTCCTTGCTCCACCGTACAGGGAAAACAGGAAAAGAAAATGGAATCCTTAAACTACTCTTCCTTAGATTGACCCAAATATCTAAAAATGAGTGACAGATCACTGGTTATTGTTTTTATTTCGTCTAACTATCAAGGAAACACTATATTTAGCTTTTCAACAGTGAATGGAATAAAACAGAATATGAGTTCTACTTCCAGTTTTAGCTCGTCCTTACAACAAAAAATAGTTGAAGAAACTTAAAATCATTGGCTTTTCTTGGACTCATCAGAGAGTTGATGTCATAGGGCAAACTGTCACCCCAAAGTCTCGAACAAGGCAAATTCAGAGTCAAAGAAGAGAAGTATTTACCTGGAATATAAGCTCATAGAGCTATAAACTGGCAGAAACACCTAAGTGGTAATTTTGACAAAATTCTAGAGCCTGAATGTAGACTAGCCTGAGAGTGAGAAACTCCTGAGGTTCCAATCTTAGGGGGTGGTAGCTCTAGGAAGCAGAGCCCCTCTGGCTCTGGCAGTAGAAGGAGAAGATTAATCATTATAAAATATGCCCAAAGCACTCTCTGTTTTACTTTCCTTTTTGCTTTGCTCTTTTCCTCAGGATCTGTTTTTGAGGGAATCCTAGACCGGACTGAGACAGCACATACCCTTCAGGATGGGAGTCTGGAGTTGAATTCTCTATCTGTTTGAAAGCAATAGTGACCATGTAGCTCATGGTAAGTGAAGGAGGGAAATATTGATATTCAGAGATATCATAATTACTAATGTTTGACCTATGGTTAATTGGAGTTGGAATTGAGTACAAGTAGAAGGCAAGGCATTGGAAGATCAGGTGGCTATTGCATTGATCACTATGAGGTCAGTGATAACTGAGATTTTGGTAACTTGGAAACTTTGAGAAAAACAAAAACGATAGGCTTACAGCAGCTATTTCCCATGTAAATCAAAAGACTTTTACGGAATCTTTCAAAAAGTCTCTCATATATTGTTCCTCTGGTAGATTGTGCTGAAAATCAAGCCTAAGGTCTGAATATAGAATGGTAAATCTGGAAAGGAGACTAAAAATGTCATCTTAACAAGTCTCATATGTTAAACTAGGGTCCTGATAGGGAAAGGATGGGATCCTAAAACCTGTGATGATTGTATTCGGATGAATGAGCCTGAAGCTGTCAACTTGTTGAACTTTCCTTAATCTTCTTGATCAATAGAGACAGCTCTAAAATAACTTTTAAGAAGAGAACAACCTGCCCTTTCCTAGAGACTGTGTACTAATTTGACTTAATACAGAGGTCTCAAAAGATAATCTTTGTTCTCCACAAAATCTGTCCCTCACATGCCTCTTTGGATCCTGGCCAATCAAGTCTCATTATAGTCCCAGAAAAGAGGCATAGGCTCTGCTCTGGGAAGAAAAAGCCTAAATTTCAAAGAAATTAAAGGCCTGATTACAATATGCCAGCAGGAACCAGGGAACCAAATGTGGGTGTGGATCTAACTAAAGATTATGGCCCAGGAATGTAAGGCTGGGCCTTACATTTATCATTACACAACGAAGGCAGAGTGGAGTATGTCTGTGTCCTAGGAGATTCACTGGTGCGTCTTTTGATGTTTCTATACTCATTGATAATTGTGAATGAAAACTTTCCACAGCCATGACCCAATAAAGGCAAATTAAAATCTCAAACCCGTTAAGAATGAATGGTGTGTCACTTCCTGAAACAAGAAACCCTGACCTGTTGAAGTGCTAGGAGAGGTTAAGGGAAAACCGGAAAGTTTGAGTGAAGAAGGATGATGAGAAATATCAGTTCTATATCACCTGCAATAGTTTGAATATGACTTTGTTTTCTAATCCTCTTTAAGTCTTTTTAGGAGAGTGCACTGACCATCAGCTTGAAGGATTAGATTTACATCTCCCTTCCTAGGGAAGAATTGAATGCAAAGTATTCCCATGTGAGATCTGAAGATCATTAAAGGCTGTGAGTGAATACAAGTTTCTGCCTTCTGAATCTATTTGACCTCACCTGATCCCCAGATCTCAGCAGTTTTCTCTGCTGCTTGGCCAGAATGGTCTTAGGGATGACATACTATTGCCTCAATCATGAAGCCCAGGTCATTTCCACTGCCATCATTTTCACCACAACTATCACAAATGTGCTACTCTTGAAGCTGTGGCCCATATGGTAACAAACCATCCCGTATTTGCCCTCTTTCCATTACAGTCTCTCTTCCTTTTATCGTTCACTTTTGCTTCCAGGGATTGCCCCCTCGACTACCCTTATTAAAATATCAGGGTATAACTTTTTGTCTCAGGTTCTGTTTTCTCAGAAATTCAGGTCAACACATTCTTCTTCCAACCTTGGCCTGGCCAATATTAAATCAATGTCAGACTTTCAGTGGAGATAGTTGATACAGTTAGAACAACGCAAAGTCACTCATAATATTTGATTTATTTCTCACAAGTCAGTAGTTCTTGATTTTATATAGGTTAGTTCATTTTAAATTTTATAATATTAATGTATTTTCATTCTGTTTAGCGGTAAACTGTATCTCCTGATTTATCTATCCTTACAGACAGATATATAGAACTATATCATATCTATATATTTATTGCTATATGCACATATATTTATATTTAGGCATTTCTCTTAATTTCCTTTCTTTTAAAAAATATTTTTGTGATTTTTTTCTGTCATTGGGGTATAAGTAAGATATTAATCCATGTTAGTGTAATTTAAAAGTGGCTATTTTTTAAGATGAAGGTGGACTAAAGGATTATTAATAAAATTTTGAAAACTACAGAGCTTCCAAAATGCAAAACATTATTGTGTTTTATGTACACACAGGTGATCAAAGTATGATAAAAGATTCCTAAGATTTTATAGCTGAAAAGGACTTTAGATGCCATTTTAAACTAGATTTTATTTTATATAAAAGAATAATGGGGCCCCGAAATATGATTAGGAGTCAGGGCTAGAGCCCAGCATGGCTGGTTCATTTTTCCCACTTACTGCCTTGGTCCAGCTTACATTCATAAATTTTTGTTGGTATGCTTTATTTAAAAAATAAGATAAGGAAGAGCAAGAGGCTTATTCCATAGAAGTCTGAGACTGAGAAATTGCTCTGATGTGTTCTTGGTAGAACAGCCACCATTAGGGTAAAATTGAAATGAACAGTTTTCTTTTGTGGCAGCATTTATTCAGAATATTTAAATAAAAGGCAAATTCAAGGAAGCAAGTTAATGGGGGAATTCTTGGAAAAATGTCAAAAAGTAAACAGTCTTCTGGCTAACATCAAAAATAATCGATTCTTTGATAATTGAGTAACATAAACTTTTCAGCCATTAAGAATATCAATATATGTCTATTCATCCGACAAGAGCATTGCCCAGTGCTAAAGCCAAGAACCTTTAGATTTTTCAAAGTGTGTAGACTATTTAGGCAGGTTTTTGACAATGTTTTAGCTTGTTTCTTCAAGTACTGTCTCTCATTATTTTTTTTCCCAGAATTAGTTTCCTGAAGTAGATTGAGAGTGATTGATAATGTCAAAGCATGGTGAAAAGCTTTGCAAAGTGTTTCACATTAGATTCTTTTCATGAGCACAGCTACATAATTCCCTTGAGTTCAGTGGTTTGTGAATTTTGGATACTTCATCTAACTTTTTAAAGCTGCTTATTCAAACTATGCCATTTCTGTCTGGCATGGGAATGTTCATTTTCCCCTGGTCATGAAGCTGAGGGAGCTTCTAACTTTTTTTTTTCTTTTGAGGAAGATTAGGCCTGAGCTAACATCTGCTGTCAGTCCTCCTCTTTTTGCTGAGGAAGACTGGCCCTGATTTAAAATCCATGCTCATCTTCCTCTACTTTGTATGTGGGATGCCTACCACAGCATGGCTTGCCAAGCGGTGCCATGTCCGCATCCGGAATCCAAACCAGTGAACCCTGGACCGCCGAAGCGGAATGTGTGAACTTGACCTCTGCGTCACCAGGCCGGCCTGCTTCTAACATTTTATCACTGTTGCCCAATTTGGCAGCTTTCAAAATTCAGAGGGCATAGTGACATACACCCTGTTACATGTAGCAAAGGAGTAATTTTAACAATTGGCTTTCCACCTGTTCCTTGGCATCTAGACTGTGCTCGTCCTACAAGCAGTGGTATCCAAATGGCAATTTGTTATGAAATCTATCCATTCTGCAAAACAGATGAATTGAGATGATCACTTAAATATGCTTAGAAAACACCTTTGAAACAATTGCTTTTTGCTGGCTGGGTCAACATAACCAAATAATGCTGCCCTGGCTGTTTACCTTTCTTCACCTAAAGCTGTTCTCAATTTCTTCCCCAGCAAGAAAACTCTACTGCTATGGCACTAGTCCTCAAAATGACAGTTATTTCTCCACTTTTGAGAAATAACCCTTTAGGACAAAAGACTTTGTGTGTCCTTGGGCCATCTGTAACTCTACAAGGAATTGTCTGTGCATGAAAAAGTCATGTTGTTTTCGATAACTATCTAAACACCAGTAAGTTTTCAAAAGCCAGAATACTGACTCTATTTTCATATAGTAGAGGATTAGACAGTTGACATTATCACAAGTCTTGGCAAAATTAATTTTTTTTTCACTTACTTAAAAGGCCATGGGCATATAAGCTGACCAACTACACTGTCTGCCATTCAGTTTTCACACAGGCTGTCATTCCTGCTACATGTTCAATAAACTGATGTGGAAGATGACTCCACTTTTTAAATGCAGACTCACAGCTTGGCCCAAAATCAGACACAAAATATGCTTTTCCCCAGAATGCCAGTCAACTTGGACAGAAAAATATTTAATTCACTATATAACTCAGAAGCTAAAAATGTTCCTAGCATATGATCAAGAGCAGGAAATGGGAGCTGGATCTAGTACCTGTGTTCTTTCTGTTAGGAAGTAAGTATTCACCAAATTCAACTCGCAAGAGCATTTGTCCATGCAGCAGCTATCCTCGGTACCTGGACATGAACTGCTAGGGAGGTTGATTGATCAAAAATAGGACCCACAGTTCTTATTACAGAGAGAACTCGAGCTAGAAATATGAAATTATAAAATCTTTCCATTCTCTGAAAAAGCTGATGAAAAATTTGCAGGCCTGGAACCTTGTCGATACTGCATATTTTAGTATCAGCATCCTTTAAATTCTCCTGAGGGAAACTCTCTTCTGAACTTGATGTTTTTGAAATAATTCCTTTAACCGAGACTAGATAAACCTTAGTAGTTCTTTAATACTCAGAATAGCTCCTGAAATGTCTGGGCACTATTAGGAATTTAGAGCAACAGATAATTGGTACCTGCTCATGGAAAAGAAAATAAATAATACTTACCTTTAAACTTAAATGGAAATACTTTGAAACAATATATTAAGGTCTTATTCATTTCATGCAGAAACATTAGTAATATCTTCTTTCTTTTGACTAAAGACCACATCCTTTCCTGAGGCTTTATAGTTTGATGTTCTTAATGTTTCATGTTTTAGTTAGAAATAAAAACAGCTAATAATATGGTAATATGATATCTTAATCTTGATTGTCTCCCTTATTCTTGAAAAGTGGGTAGAAGAATACAGTATCATCTAACAATGTATATTATTTTAAAGTTTTAGAGAGATGAAAAGATATCTAAATTTGATTGTATGTATAAGTAGGAAAAGAGAAGTTTATACTGACTTTTAAAAATAATCTCAATAACAAAATAGTAATACTAATGATATCACTTCAAGGACCTACTATGTACCAAGAAACGTATCAGTTGTTTCATATGTGCTATGAGATAGAAATTATTTCCACTTTACAGATGAAGAGTCTTTGCCCAGTTAAGTGGAAGAGGCAGAATTTGCACCCATACTTGCAATGTTGCTAATATATTGTAAATTCTGCATTGCAGCATGAGCTCACTATTTGCACTTTATTAACTGAATCCAACACAAATTTGCCAGGCCTGTTGGATGCTCATATATGCATGGCTCCAAACCCGCCACCAATAACTCCCTGGTGCTGTGTTGCACTAAGAAATTGCTGTTTGCAACATGAGCCATTATCAAAGCCCATGTTTTTCCCCAGGATCTCCTTGTGCTGGTAACATTCGCCATTTGATGTGAAAAGTCCATTGATGACACTAGTTTACGCAATGTCCCCTTTATTTATAGTCCCTCACATTTTCCCTATAGTGCTAAAATATTTTACACATCCATTATTGTTTTATTACATAATGAAATTTTAATTTTTTACATTTCTGATTGTGACCTCTGCTCTACACACATCTTTGTGAATTCCTTAGATTCCTAATGGTTGTATCTTTATATTGGTATCTAGTTGGTTCTAGCTCTGGCCAGAACATATATCCAACATAATGGCCAACATATATCCAAATATGTATTTCCTAGTTTGTTCTGGAGTACTATATGTCATTGCTACTTTCTGAGCCTTTCCCTCACTGGTATTTTTCCAAAAATTTATAATGTCTACTAAACTTACCTACCAGTTATATTAAAAACCAATATCTTTTTTTTTTTTCCCCCGGAAGATTAGCCCTGAGCTGACTGCTGCCAAACCTCCTCGTTTTGCTGAGGAAGACCAGCCCTGAGCTGACATCTGTGCCCATCTTCCTCTGCTTTCTATGTGGGACACCTACCACAGCATGGCTGGCCAAGCGGTGCCATGTCCACATCTGGGATCCGAACCGGTGAACCCTGGGCCACAGAAGCAGAACGTGTGCACTTAACTGCTGCGCCACCAGGCTGGCCCCTAAAAGCCAATATCTTGAGTTTATTTCCATACTACATTCAGATGAGGTAAGTGTGCTTATTTATTCCTATCAGCTTTTCTATCTCCTCGTGCTTTGGAGAGATAGGGAGCACTAAAGTGGTGATGGCATGTTCAACACACACGCAAAATCTATGGGTTTTATCAACAATCATGAAACTCTCAAGATACATTATGATATAGAATCTCACAGAAAGGTTTTTTACTAAACAATTCTTTTGTGTTTATTGTTGTTGTTAGGATAAAATATTATTCTAAGCACCTTTTTATCCTTATACTCCTCATCCAGTTCTTTAGCTATTCTGTAAAACAAACTGGATACAAACAAATAGAAACATAAAAATAAAAATGAAGAATATTAACATATATATTTGTGTAATTTATGGGAAGTATCTTAGTTTACTCCTTAGAAATATTGCCTAATTTAATATTTATAATAATTTTGTATAATGTGTTTTATTTTCCCTAACTTTACAGATAAGGAAATTAAAGTGCTGAGCCTTAAGTAACTTTCTCATGGTCACATGGGTGGTAAGGGCAAATCAAAATTTGAAACCAGGATTGAGGAGTAACCACCAAGATGGCGACATTCGTTGTTCCTGACTTTGCTCCCTCTCACAAGAGTAACTAACAACTATGGAAAAACAAGACACCAGTGAGAGAATCCCAGAACATGGGTGTAAGACTGAAGCAACCCCCCTGCTCCACAGAGACCAAGACAGACTGCATTAGAAGGGTGAGAGAGGCGGCTACATGTTGACTGCATTGCTCCTTCCCCAGGCCAGTGCAGCACCGCATGGAGAGGTCTCCCCTGAGCCTCTGGCTCCTCCAGTGGGAAAACAGAACCCAGGGGGGACAAATAGCCCATCCACCCCCAGCATTGTGGCCCACTAAACAGAAGACCCTACTCTGATCTCCCACCACGGGATTGCAGGCAATTCTGCAGGGCTCAACCACTGGGAATCTGACTGTGAGGGAGAAGGGGGAGGGGCTTGAAACAACCAGCAGACTTGGCAGACTTATTTTGTATCTACAGTGCTCAAGTAGGAATCCCAATCAGAAGCTTTGCTCATTTGCAGAACCAAGTTGCGTGTACACTCTGACCAGGGAACTTAGTGGGGTGCAGATCTGCCTGGTTTGGATCCTCAAATGAGGAGTTTTGCTGGCCCTTGGGTCCAGTTTGCTCACACCCAGACAAGGAGCTGAATCACAGTCCTACCCATTGTGGAGACTGCCTTCCAGTGCCATCTGACCAGAAAGGCTGGCATCAACTCCAGGAAGCTATGTGGCCAAGTGACACCTGAACCAAGAGGCAGGTGGGCAGTGCTGATCACCCCCCCAGAGCAAAGACAGTAGTGACTGTGGAATGTTCCCATGTTGTGCAAAAGCCAGGGGATTAATTCATAGCCAAAGCTCAGGGTAGCTCCTGGCTCCTTCCAATGTGAAAGCCAATTTGGGAAATTGAGAGCAGCCAGGGAATAGCCTCACAGTGTCCTGCCTAGGCAAGGAGGCTGAGAGATGGACTCATGTGCTGTGGAGAGTCTCTTCTGGCCCCATTGGACCAGAAAGGCTGGAGATGCCTGCTAGAAGCTGTGCAGCCCAGCAGCACTTGAGCCGAGAGGCAGGAGGCAGAGCCAATAGTTTGTAGAGCAAAGCCAGTAGCCCTGTTCAGTCAGGAAACCTGGGTGGTGGGTTGGCTTGAGTTAAGACAAAAACAAAGAGTTTTATCAGCTTTAGAGCTGCTTCTCCCTTCTCTTGCTGTGCCCAGGCAGGGTATCTTTAAATCAGAGCCCTGCTCAACTCTAAATACAGCCTTCAGCCTGTCTGAACAGAAAACCTAACCAGAGCCATGGGAAGCTGCAAAGCCCATTTAATAGCCCTATGTATAGTGGCACTTGAACAGAGAGAACAGTTTGTGGCTTCTCCCATCTGTAGAGCAAGACCAGTGGCCTCACCTGATGAGGGAATTCAGGGCACACTCAGGCCAATTCAGGTCCCCAAACAATGAGCCATACAGACCCTGGGTCCTGTCCTGCTGCCCTGCCAGGGGAGGGGAACTTATTCATGGCCCCATCTACTACTGAGTATAGTACCCAGTCCCAACCATCTAGTAAGCCTGCTCAGAGAATCTGGGCAACTGTGAAACCCATCCTACTGCCTCACTTGGGTAGGGAACCATGCCAGTAGTCCTATCTGACAGTTCTCAGCCAGTGGTGTACACACTCACACCTGTCCTCAGAGCTTGAACAGTTACCTTACCCCAAAATAGACCATAATAGCAAGTCCAATATGCCCAAGGACATTACAACAATTACTAAATAAAATGAGGAAAACAATACATGAACAAATGAGAAGTTTGATAAAGGAATAGCAACCATCAAAAAAAAAAAAACCCAAAACCCAGAAATCCTAGAGTTGAAAAATACAGTAATTAAACTAAAGAATCCAATAGAGAGTTTCAAAAATAGACTTGACCACGCAGAAGAAAGAATCAGTGACTTGGAGGATAGGACATTGGAAATTATTCAGTCAGAGGAACAAAAAGATAAAAGAATGAAAAAGAGTGAAAAAAGCCTATAGGAATTATGGAACATAGTGAAAACAAATATTTGTATTATAAGAATTCCAGAAGGAGAAGAGAAAAACGAAAGGGATAGAAAGTACGTTTGAAGCAATAATTGCTGAAAACTTCCTGAATCTCAGGATAGAAATGGACAGCCAGATCCATGAGGCCCAAGAGACCTCAAATAAGTTGGCTTTGAATAGGGCTGTGCCAAGACACATTATAATTAAATTGTCAAAAACAAAGAAAAAAATTTAAGAGTAGCAAGAGAAAAGAGAGAAGTTACATACAAGGGAACCCCCATAAGGCTACTGGTGGATTTCTCAACAGAAACTTTTCAGGCTAGGAGAGAATGAGATGACATATTAAAAATATTGAAAGAAAATAAATGTCAACCAAGAATTCTATACTCAGTGAAGCTGTCCTTCAGAAGTGAAGAAGGGATAAAGACTTTCCTGAACAAACGAAAGCTGAGGGAGTTCATTACCATCAGACCTGCCTTACAAGAAATGCTGAAGGGATTTCTTTGAATGGAAGTATAGGAATACTAATTAATATCATAAAAACATAAAAGGGTAATACAAATCTCACTGGTAGTGGTAAAGATATAGTCATAGTTAGACTCTGCAATATGGTAATAGTGGTGCATAATTCACTTACAACTCTAGGTTAAAAGTTAAAGAAACTGGGATTGAGTGACTTGAAAGTCCTTACTCTTTCACTAAACCACATTGTTTTAAATAGATGAGTGAATCTTTGTAAATGTTCACTTAATTCAGATTTTGTCTCACTCCTCTACTTGTTCATTGCTTATCAATGTAGCTCTTCTCAAACTTTTCCTACTAATTAAACCCAATTGCAGAAGGTATTAACATAATTAAACAATCTTTAGGGGTTTCCTGTTATAACCTTATAACTCATGCAAAATTTGCATCATACTATGTAATGTTTTTCTTTATTTTAAAATTTTATTAACTCATAAAAAATACAACTAAATTTTCTAACTTGTCACCTTGATTAATGGGCATTATATTATTAGATTTATCCTAAGAATTTTGTAAAATGGATTGAATAAAGACTCAAACAGCATTCCTTCCTGAGATGTATATATATCTCTATATATCTATATATTTATATAGATATTCCAGTCCTTACCACAATCACAAAGACTGACTTATGCTTTCCCCTGGCTATTCCTCAGACCTCATTGCCAATAATTTCTCTTGACTCAGTTCAACCACATTCCTTTCTTACTGTTCTTCAGATATTCTGAGTAAGCTTCCACCTTAGCGCCTTTGCATTTACAGTTTCTCTGCCTGCTATTCACATGGTTCACTTCCTCTCTTCAGTTAGCTTTTACTTAGTTTAAATGCTATCTTCTCTGGAAGTCCTGCCCTTATCACGCCTTCTAAAATATTTTCTCCTCTTCCTCTACCCGTGTTCTTTTTAAAAAATAGTGTTATACTACATTTTATGCTGATTAAGTTATTAATTTTGTCCCTTCTTAGGATGCCAGCCCCATAATGTCAGGGATTTTTCAGCATTTGTATGAATCATGGTTGTTAATTGCAAAAGAACCAAACCCATAGTTATCATAAAAAATAATAAATTTACTAAAAGCTCATGGCCTCTCCAGAGGGCAAGACTATCAGGTTTGGAGGCTAAGCCGTAAGGAACACTGCTGAAGCCTCGCTGTGGGGATGTTCCAACAAAACGCCACCACCACCACCCCCCGAGTCAGATAGCAGTTTACATGCTGGTGACATGCCACCTCTGGAAACCCACCTTCTCAGCTATGGGATCTGACTTAAGAGGTAAAACATTTCAAAAAGTACCCCCTTTGTCTTTGCTTCCTGTAGTTGTTTCTTTCAGGACCAAAGTATTGAGTGAGTGTATCCTGATTAGCAAATTCTAGGTCACATAGCTGAGCCTTAGATCAAGGGCAGTGGCAAGAAAAGCAAGTTTCAGGCTTCTAACTCGAGAAGTGTGTTTCTCAACAGAAGAAATCCCCTAGATGTAAGAAAGCTGTTCAGAACATGCTAGGTGGCCAAAAACCAAGGCAAGTGTCCTTGTCACCACTGCATTTTCAGTACCCCAAATAGTGTCAAACACATTTGAAGCATTCCATAATGGTTGTTAAGTGAATAAATGAATGTATCATGTTCCAGGTAATGTATATTTTTTTCTTTGCCTTGGTGTCACAATATTTTGAAAGCTGAATTTACACAAATTTATGGATACAGCAACAGCTTCTCTTTTTTGGTGAGGAAGATTGGCCCTGAGCTAGTATTTGTTGCCAATCTTCCTCTCCTTGCTTGAAGAATATTCTTGCTGAGTTAACATCTGTGCCAATCTTCCTCTACTTGATGTGAGATGCCACTGCAGCACGGCTTGATGAGCAGTGCTAGTTCTGTGCCCGGGATCCGAAACTGTGAATCCCAGGCTGCTGAAGTGGAGCACGTGAACTTAACCACTACATCACCAGGCTAGCCCCAACAGCAACAGCCTTTTTTTCCCCAGTGTTTTGGAGATCCAAAGTACTGCCGAAAAAGTAGAAAAGTGGTGTTTTCAGGGTTCTTGTTGGTGAACACAGTTTTAGGTATCATCTTCTTGCTCAGTTCAAATGAACTGCCTCATATGATGGCTGAAGTGGTCCTGCATCAGCCAGTCAGGTTCTCTTATCATCTCAGGGGAATGCAGGTCAAAGGTCTTTTCAGCATAGAAAGATGGCTAGTGATTCCTGTAATTTGTTTTACATTAATAATATGAGCAGGTCAGCAATTTCTTTTCTAAATCCTTTGGGGCAGATATGTTTTGATATTCAGAATTTTTAGATATTAGAATGTTTATGAGTACATACACCATAGATTACATAACATTCTCAGCTGAGTCCAGGGGAGTACCCTATAATCAAACCTATTACTATTTCTGCAATGAAACACATAATATCATACTCAGTAAAATAAAGTAAAAAAGACGATAAATAGCCTCATATCAGTTCACATCAGGTTTTGTTCCCAGCTAAGTTATATAACTGTTTTTGTTTTCAGAAGAGTTTGGGTTTTGGAATTGAGCATAAGAGATTATAGACCTGTAAATTTATCAAGTATCAATGAATGAAAACACTCACATTCCTATTGTTGCTATGATCAACATTCTTCATTCAACTGTTCAATTTATTTTTAGTGCTCTGATCTTGAAATGGAAATTAAATACATTCAATTTTTTTTGCCTTTTGATTAAAAATGTTCAGCCTAGAAAAAATTCATAAATTTGTATTTATTTCCTACACTTCCCTCTGCATAAATACAAAACTCATGTCTTACTAAACCTTCTAACTCTTGCTGCTTTTAGGATTCTCTCTTTGTCTTTAATTTTAGACATTTTGATTATAATATGTCTTGGTGTGGGCCTCATTGGGCTTATCTTGTTTGGAGCTCTCTGTGCTTCCTGAACTTGGATGTTTGTTTCCTTCCTCAGGTTAGGAAAATTTTCCTCTGTTATTTCCACAAATAAATTTTCTGCCCCTTCGTCTCTCTCTTCTCCTTCTGAGACCCCTATAATCTGAATGTTAACATGCTTGATATTGTCCCGGAGTTCCCTTACACTGTTCTCATTCTATCTAATTCTTTTTTCTCTTTTCTGTTTGGCTTGGGTGATTTCCTCTAATCTTTTGTCTAGCTCATTGATCCGTTCTGCTGCTTCCTCTACTCTGCTATTGAATCCCTCTAGTGAATTTCTCATTTCAAGTATTCTATTCTTCACTTCTGATTGAATTTTTTTAATATCTTCCAATTCTTTGCTGATGTGCTCACTGTGTTCATCCATTCTTCTCTGCACATCTGTGAGCATCCTCATTATATTTTGTTTGAATTCCTTGCCAAGGAGGTTGCTAGTTTCTGTTTCACTTAGTTCTTTTTCTGGTGTTTTGTAGTGTTCCCTTGCTTGGAAAGTATTCCTTTGCCTCCTCATTATTCCTCTTTCTCTGAGCTATTTTCTTTGTACTAGGTGAGTCGGCTATGTCTCCTGATCTTGAAATTTATATGGAACAACAAAAGACCCTGAATAGCCAAAGGATTCCTGAGAAAAAAGAACAAAGCTGGAGGTACCATACTCCCCGATTTCAAATTATACTACAAAGCCATAGTAACCAAAACAGCATGGTACTGGCACAAAAACAGACACACAGATCAATGGAACAAAATTGAGAGCCCAGAAGGAAACCCACACGTCTATGGACAGCTAATATTCGACAAGGGAGCCAAGAGCATACGATGGAGAAAGGAGAGTCTCTTCAATAAATGGTGTTGGGAAAACTGGACAGCCACATGCAAAAGAATGAAAGTAGACCATTTCCTTACACCATGCACAAAAATCAACTCAAAATGGATTAAAGACTTGAATGTAAGACCCGAAACCATGAGACTTCTAGAAGAAAACATAGGCAGTACGCTCTATGACATTGGTCTGAGCAGCATATTTTCAAGTCCCATGTCTGACCGGGCAAGGGAAACAAAAGAAAAAATGAACAAATGGGACTGCATCAAACTAAAAATCTTCTGCACAGCAAAGGAAACCAGCAACAAAATGAAAAGACAACCTAACAATTGGCAGAAGATATTTGCAAACCGTATATCAGATAAGGGGTTAATATCCAAAATATACAAAGAACTCATACAGCTCAACAACAAAAAAACCAACAATCCAATTAGAAAATCGGCAAAAGATCTGAACAGAGATTTCTCCAAAGAAGATATACTGATGGCCGACAGGCATATGAAAAGGTGCTCAACATCATTAGCTATCAGGGAAATGCAAATCAAAACTACAATGAGGTATCACCTCACTC